TTTGTTGTAGTTTGCTTGAAATGGAACATATTCGTTATAGCATAAATTGCTATTCCAATCTGGCATTCCTCTTTGCTGCCAAAAACCTTCCCTTTGTATATCCCTTGTCCATCATCGTCATAATCCAAATCTGGAATGTCTTCACCCTCGAATTCAGTGTCATCAAACAAAGGAGGTATGTCGAAGTCTTCGTCCTCAAAATTCTCGAGCTTTCGATTACACACACTAGAACTGGGGACGTATCCATATTGACTCGACCAGCTGGATACCCTTTCCTGACCACCCATTCTCAAACCATCCACAACAGGAACAGAATCATTCATCAATCCACTTGGTTTACTCTCTTCTTTCAACGGAACAGTCTGGTCCAATGTAGGTTTCGTGCTACACATCACCTCCACAACGTTAACCCGGCCAAACTGATCACCTATGAAATTGCCCCAGAACTCTTTATCATACGATGTAGGTGTCACAAACACCTCCCTCTCGTCAATTGGTTCATCCTCTGCATAATCTTCGTACACATCTGCGGCCTCTTTGGAACTACTCTCTGGTTTTTCAGTGCTCCATTCTTCTTTCAATCTTACCTCGGTTTCTTCAACTTGGGCTAGGAAAACATCATCCTCCTGGGTGACATCAATTACAAATGCCTTTGATCCAGCTGTCGACACCTCGCCTAAAATTTCCTCTACCCCATCACTCATGCTCAATCCGCAAGATGTGCCACAACTCCTCTTTCTCCCACCTTCCCCGGAATTCTCTAGCTTTTCTCTCTCTAATTCGACTTCCGTCTGTCCTCTCTTCCGAATTTCCTCAAACGACACAAACATACTCAAACCTCTATTTTGACGAAGCATCTATACATAATATTCGAGCCGACGTCGGTGGTTACCATCACAAGAGGTGGCCTCACCGCATTCTCCATTTGCAAGCTTACTGGGAGACAATAGCTCAGACTTGCCTTCTTGTTAACCAAACAAAACTCTTTCAAAACAGCTGCTTCAAGCTCACATAGGCTTGTCGTCGCCGACAGCGGGACAGCCCTAGACAACAAAATCTTGTCTACCGTGAACTCTGCCACGTTGTCGGCTGAGAATCCCCATTTTCCAGACACTACGATACAAAATCCAGGTAGTCCATCCTGTAAAACAGTGAAGAAAACAACACCAATTAATAACCCGGCCATCCACAATAAATGTCTATCCAAATCTTTGGGAAAACCTTATCCACAAAAAGCTTACCTCCATATTCATCGCTCGACCACAGTAAACTACAATGGAAAACGCTAAAATCTTTTTATATGGGGTAACTCGACCAAAGAAAACCTAGTTTTTTTAACTAAATTCATCGTGGAAACGAGATAGTAACTTTTGTTCATCTCTAAAATATCAGCCGTCCGATAATAACTAGTAGTTACGATCTAATGGTTCATACTTTATTAAAAACAGAAAAACATTACACAACTTTATAACTCAGCCGAGGACAATTTGGTCTTAACACATCCAACCTCCTTACTATACAAACCAGGAAAGTATAGCAGTAGTGAAAAGTGTGTCTGCTTGCAAGATAAGTTCACAGAAGTAGGTGTAGACGTAATTCTCTCTATAATATTCCTGTAGAGTTCTCATTGCGGGTCAGTCCAATATTGTGTTCTCCAACACATATTAATGTGATTGACTTAGATACTACATATCAATGACTCCACGAAACTTAGTCATCAAGTCACCTCACATACTAGTCACTTATGGCTATTAATGTCTCATTTAATAACCTTGACTGGACCTTAATAATTTATATCATCATTCACTTATAGGGTTTCATGATCAAGTCACGTACTTGATGACCTATAAAATGAAATAAATTATTTTGGGACAATTATTTAATTACTCAATAACCAAATAATACTGAAACAAATTTCATTAATTTGAAAATAAATCAAATATAAGTAAACATAAACATCATATCCGAAAAATAAAATTCTCCCACTAGAATCAAGATCACATCTTAAGATATCTAATGCCTACTGCAGTAGTATGACTTTCATGCTTAGGTCGTGGAAAAGCCTTGGTTAAAGGATCTGCAACATTTGCATCTGTGCAGACTCTGCTAATCCTCATAACATGCTACATACTCAGCTTCCATAGTGGATGTATAAATTAGTTCTGACTTCTGGCTTTTCCATAAAATGGTACCTCCGGAAAGGAGATACACATAGCCGATAGTACAGCGCCTAGAATCTTGACATCCACCAAAATCTGAGTCTGAAAATCCAACCATCTGTGGATGTGTTGATTTTCGATATGTGAGCATGTAGTTTCTTGTTCCATTAAGATATCTTAATACTTTCTTTGCAGCTTTCCAATGAGCAAGTCCTGGGTTACTTTGAAATCTACCCAACATTCCGACTGCATGGGTAATATCAGGTCGAGTGTAGACCTGTGCATACATTAAACTTCCCACAATAGATGCATAAGGGTACTTTTTCATTTCATTATGTTCCATTTCATTCTGCGGACATTGCTTAAGGTTCAGCTTGTCACCCTTTTGCATAGGAACATTATTAGAAGAACACATCATCATGCCAAATCTCTCAAGAACTTTGTCAATATATGCTTTCTGAGACAGTCCTAAAATTCCTAGTGATATCACGGAATATTTCAATTCCTATCACATAGGATGCCTCACCCATATTTTTCATATCAAAGTTCTTAGAGAGATAACTCTTAGTCTCATGTAATAGACCAAGATCATTAGTGGCTAACAAGATGTCATCAACATACAGTACCAAAAATATGAACTTACTCCCACTGATCATGAGATATATACATGGATCCACAATGTTTTCTTTGAAACCGAATTTCGTAATGGTTTCATCAAACTTTAGATACCATTGCCTCGAAGCTTGTTTCAGTCCATATATTGATTTCTTCAATTTGCAAACCATTTTTTCTTGACCTTTCGATTATGAAGCCTTTAGGTTGACGCATATAGACTTCTTCTTGTAAGTTTCCATTATGAAAGGCAGTTTTCACATCCATTTGATGTAACTCGAGATCATACTGAGCTACTAATGCCATGATAATTCTGAGAGAGTATTTTCTTGACACAGGTGAAAAAGTCTCACTATAATTGATGCCTTCTTTTTGATTAAACCCTTTGGCTACAAGTCTGGCTTTATGTCCGACTTGCTTTGTGTCCATCAGGCAATGGAACGATGTCCCAAACTTCATTCTTAACCATCGAGTCTATTTCATCTCTACTAGCATCAATCCATTTATCAGAATTAACATCTTTCATGGCTTGTGAATAAGAAACCGGATCTTTAATATTTCCTTTATCAGATTCTACTTGATAAAGCACAAAGTCATCAGAAATTGTAGATCTTCTCGTACGAGTTGATCTTCGTAATGATGATTGTTCATGTGCTTCATGATCATTATTAGCAAAATTTTCATCATGGAGTGTGTGATCATTTAATGGGGTTTCCTCATTTTTTAACGGTTCAACAATGTTCGGATCCCCAACATTCGGAACTAAGGGTAAAGGAATATCAACCCTAATTTCCTGAATGGTTATATCACGAACTTTATCACTCCCACTAATATCACCATTCTCAAAAAATCTGGCATTATTGGTTTCTACTATTCTCGTACTATGGGATGGACAATAAAATCTATATCCTTTAGACTTCTCAGGGTAACCTATAAAGAAACCACTGATCATTCTGAAATATAAATTCTTTTCATGTGGATTGTATATTCTTACTTCAGCTGGACATCCCCAAACTTGGAGATGTGACAAACTAGGTTTCCAGCCTTTCCACAATTCAAAAGGGGTCTTAGGAACTGCTTTGCTGGGAACTCTGTTTAAGATATAGACATCGGTACATAATGCGTTCATCCACAAGGATATAGGTAGGTTAGCATGACTCATCATGGATCTAACCATTTTCATATAAGTACGATTACGCCTTTCAGCTACACTATTCTGCCATGGAGAACCAGGCGTTGTGTACTGCGCAACGATTCCTAATTTTTGGAGAAGTATGGCATATGGTCCAGGATGTTGTCTTGTTTCATTATATTTGCCATAAAATTCACCACCTCTATCCGACCTTATAATTTTAACTTTTCTATCTAATTGCCTCTCAACTTCAGTAATGAATGCTTGTACAACATCCACATATTGAGATTTTTCATGCAATAAATATAGATAACAATAACATGAATAATCATCGATAAAGGTAATAAAATATTTTTCACCTCCAAAATTTAGAACATTAAATGGTCCGCATATATCTGTATGTATGATTTCAAGAAGCTGTGTACTTCTTGTGGCTCCTTTCTTAGTGTGATTAGTTTGCTTGCCCTTAATGCAATCTATACACTCTTTTATGTTGGTAAAGTCAAGATTCGGAATGACTCCATCTCTTACCAATCTTTTAATTCTTTCATAGGAAATATGTCCTAATCTTTTATGCCACAAGAAATATGAGTTATTAGTACATGTTTTATTTTTAAGTCTACTTTCAGTATGCAAGGAGAGATGTGTCTCATAAGGTTGATCAGCCATTTTAACATATAGAGACCATCAACTAATATTCTAGAACCAATTCGATTAGAGTTCAAGAATATATTATAACAACCATCTCCTTGAGTAGATTTAAAACCAGCCAAATCAAGTTTGCTTACAGAAACTAAATTACGGGAAATAGATGGAACATAAAGAGTCTGATATAAATCTAGACAAAATCCACCATCTAAAATGAGACGATAGGTGCCAATAGCTTCAACTGGTGCCTTGTCTCGATTTCCCATCAGTAAGTAGTTTTCACTTGAATTTATGGTCCGAATCGTTAGGAATCCCTGTACAGAATTCGTTACATGTACATTAGCACCGCTATCAATCCACCAAGCTTTAGACGAAACATGAGTAAGATTAGATTCGAAAAAGCTTACGGAACCCATAGGATTACCTTTCTTTTCGAACCATTCTCTTCTTTAAGTGCAATCTTTCTGAAAGTATCCAACCTTTTTACAAAAGTTGCATCTATAATATTTCTTTGCCTTTTTCTTCGAATTAGCTTGATCGTAATCGTTCATTGTGGGTGATGCTCTTTGATGGCTCTTTTTATGCCTTTTCCCAACTTTAAGTCCAGCTCCTTGGACATAATGGGCAACTTTAATGCCTTCACGACCAAGTCGAGCCTCCTCTTGGACTAATTTATTAGTCAATTCATTAGATGTCCATTTTTCATCAATTGCATTATAATTGATCTGAAATGGTCCATACCGAGGAGGTAGTGAATTTAGGATAAATTGGACAAGAAATGAATCGTCCACACTCATTCCTAAATTTTTTAATTTGGCCGCAAGGTTGGTAATTTCAATGCAATGTTCATACATAGACCTTGTCCCATCATACTTTATGGTTGTAAGATCTGCCATAATTTTCCCTGCAAGGGATTTGTCTGCAGTCTTAAACCGTTCTTCTATAGCTACTAGATAAGCTTTAGCTTTTTCTACATCAGAAAGGGAAGTTTTAACATTGCTAGCTATTGTCATTCTTAAAAACATCATGCTCATTCTGTTCGCTTTCTCCCAAGCTTTATGGAGTGCCTTTTCTTCCTCAGTACTAATTATAGTTAAGGGATCTGGCTCTTCTTCACGAAGTGCCAGATCCATATCTAGTACTCCTAATGTGAACTCAACTTTCTCTTTCCATTCTGAGAAGCTGGTTCCAGTGAGGATTGGAACAGTGGAGACCATAGATGACAAATTAGCAGAAAATGATGCTGCGATATAGAGATATAACAAGCTTTAATTGAGGTTCAAAGTTAAACAACACATTAACGAAAATTATGGAAAACATATGACTATAAATTATAATGCTCATGTGGGTAGTCACTATAATATTTCATAAAGTCATAGCTTTCGAAAACTTTTCTTAAATGATAAATCAAATTAATTAAGCTATATGTGGATAACTCACATACAAACATTCTAATAAATTTTTGATCATGTTTTATGAAAAATAGCCTACTTGTGGGTAGCTAATTAATACATAAACATATAAAAATTTCTTTTAAAATATTTGGTTTTTATGTGCAAATCATCATATGATAAAACCTATTATGGTGATATCAATTTCTTAATTATGCACATTAAAAGAAACCAATTTCTTATCACTTTAAAAAATTTCTTTTGAAAAAAAGAAAGTTAAACTAATGCAAGTCTACAAACATCATAACTTGCGGTTCTAATTTTCAGTTCTGTAAACAATAGATCTATTATTCTTAATGGATTAATTAGATGTTCATAACTATAAGCTCTGATACCACATGTTAAATATACTTTAACATGAACCCTAAGATCATAAACATCTATATTAATCACATAATAGAAACATAAAGAGGGTTAAAGTAATACCTCCACTCATTGTAGAAATGATGCTTTCTTTAATGGTTCCTTGAAGCCTTCTTTAGTTTTCATTTGAAGCTTTCTTGATTAATGGCTTGTAGTCTTGAAAAGAAACTCTTAAATCTTTTAAATGGAAAATAAAGTTTCTCTCCCCTCTCCTATAAACCCTTTCCTTTAAGTGTTATTTTTGTTCATGATGATTTTTGATGGAGCAAGTCATCTATTTATAGGTGGGGCGAGGACCTCATTCCTCATTAGGGTTTTGCCTTCCAATTTAATCTCAACTATCCATCAAAGTAGAGATTAAGGCAATGGTGACAAGTGTGAGGACAAATGTTCTTTTGCATGGTTCTCTTAACATAAGAGTGACATGTGTTTTAACACTTGTTCATTTATGAACCAAAACATGACATGATACTTAACACTTGTCTTTCCTTTAAACACGTGTCCTCTTATTGTTCTTTAAATTTATTTAGGAATTAACTCCTTAATAACCAATTTTATTGGTTACCAAAATTTTATCAAAATATAACAATCTCAAATAAGAGACCAATTAACTATAACACCACATACATGGGTAAGAATAAATAATTTTCTTACATGATTAGGATGAAAAAATGACCACAAGAATGGAAGATCTGTGAAGTTGGATTTTTCTATTTTGACAAAAACGACGGTGTGAGAGAGGAGGAGAAGACAAATCGATTTGGGGGAGAAAATAATAAATGAAAATGTTTTCTTTTTTAAAATTTTCTAACCAATTCCCATGAAACACGTGGCATAAGCCACTCCTTCAAAAACATCTTTGCTTAAACCCGAATACCTTTTACCTTTTCACTGTTTTATTATTTTGAGTTTTGTTTAATGCTCTAAGAGCCAACAGCTTTTGCCGATAAAGATGGACTTAGGCCAACTTTAACGGTGCAACCCAACGGGCCTTTGGGCATTAGAATATGGCCTAATAATGGAAACAGTCCGATTATAAGGGGCATTCGAATGCTGGGCAAGACCCTTTCGAAGCCGTGTCTTACGCCATGTGGGAACACTAGATTGGTTTAATTTTTTGTAAAGAAAACCTTTTAAATTTTGTCAAAAAAAGAAAATTCCCAAAAATCCCCAAATCGCAACCTCTCTCTCTCGAAGACGAACCCTAGAAAGCGATTTCACACCTTCACCCTTTCATCTCTTCTTCTTCCCCGAAGAGACTGTAACCGTGATCGCCGTCAAGTCTGAGCGTCTTCTTCTTCCCCTCTGTCTCGTGGTCACGGTGTTGTCGAAGTCGCAGCGAAAAGTCAAAATCTAATTCTGATATCTTGGAACCCTAGTTCCGCTGCGATTTCGAGTTGGGAGAAATCGATCTCGTCTTGTTCTCCTTCTCGTCTTAGTGGGTTCTCCCTATGGTGTGAGCGTCTTCTCCGTCCCCTCCGTCTACTGCTCACCAGATTCTGGATCGGAATCAAACCCTCCTTCAGCGTGTCGTCCCTGGAAGATCTCCTTCCCCAAATCGAGTCAAAGATAAGGTACATGGAAGTCTCTTCTTTTCCTTCTTATTATTTGTGAAGTTGGTTATCTGTTTGGTTTGATGGCGAAGGATAATTAGGTTTCTCGAGTTCGTGTAATGAATTGGGTTTTTTCCTTTCGTTATTTGTCTAAAGTGGAGTCATTAGTTCATATGTGTTCTTCTGAGGCGATATTGTGTAGGACTGTTAAATTTTTAGGGATGGAATTACAACTGATCTGTTCTAGGCTTCAGGTCTGATGGTTTTAGTGTTTTGAAAGAGAATTTCTATGTGTTATCGGTTTGAATTTTTGTTTGGGAGTCCGATCTGCTGCATTTGATTTATAAGTAGGGTTGGACCTTAGTGTGTTTTCATTATACTGTAAAGATGATGAACTTAACTCCTGTTTTTCATCTTTTTCTTGAGGATTGAAGCTGAGTGAGGTTGGTAATCGCATTCGGGTAATCTACAGCAAAAGGATCTCCAAATTTAGAGGTTAGTACATGTCTTAATACTTTATGCAATATATGTTATATCATGCGAGTTTGTTGAACCTGTCATTGTGTATTGAACCTGTAATTGTGTATTGAACCTGTAATTGTGTATTGAACCAGTCATTGTTCATAAAGGTCTTGTACTGTCTGTTAATTACCTTGTGCTTGAAATTGAATTGCTGTATGTAAAAAAACATTAAGTTCATGCTCTGTCTAGTAGCTTATAATGTTATTGAATGCGAGTTTGTTGGTGTATTGGTTAGTCATGTCAAATTGGTTAGTCATTGTGTATTGTTTTAGTTATTGTGTATTAGTTAGTCATTGTGTATTGAACCATTCATTGTGTATTGAACTTGTCTTTGTGTATTGAACCTGTCATTGTGTATTGAACCTGTCATTGTGTATAAAAGTCTTGTAGTGTCTGTTAATTACCTTGTGTTTGAAATTGAATTGTTGTATGTAAAAAACATTAAGTTCATGCACTATCAAGTAGCTTATAATAATGTTATTCTACAATCTGAATTGTACATACATGGCTATAAATGAATCCGTTTGCCTTTATTGTGTTAGTCCTTTCTTAATGCTTTTAATCTCTGATCTTGTTACAACAAGATTAGTATTTACATTTTCTTGTAAATGTAATAACATGTTTAGCTTATTTTGAGAACTAGAAACAAAGTATACTTAATAAGATTACTATTCTGTTTGTGATTCTTGATTGTGATTTGATTGAGGTAGGTAAGTGTTAGCTTTGTAATAACTCTTTTAACTTCATCCCAAAGTCTCTTTATGTGCTGTTTTCACTTATCATCTTTCAACTCCCTTTTTCCCTTTGCGATTTGATCATCTCTCTTCTTTCCCTTCTATCATCTCTCTTGTAGCATATTTTTCCCTTCTGTTCTTTCTCTTTCTCTTCTAGTATCTTTTTCCCTTATGTTCTGGCTCTTGTAGCATATCTCTTCTACCATCTCTGTCTTAGCATCTCTCTTCTAGCATCATATGGATTCAAATAATAATCCATATGGTAGTTCTCTCGGTTACTTTAGCCTTAATAACTTTCCTTATGATAGCTTTTCTCAAAATCTTAACTTTTGGTCTCCACAAAGCAGCAAAAACCCTAACCAGCAACATCAAGCTCCACCCTCTCAAGGCAGCCACATCCCTTGTATGAGCCAGCAACAGAGTCATGGAGGACCATCTCAAGGCAACCATAACCCTTCTTTTAGCCAGCATAAGAGTGAACCTTCAAGTCAATCTCAAGGCACACCAACTTGTACTAGGGAGAGAAGGCAATGGAACAGCATTGATGATCTTGTGTTGATAAGTGGGTGGTTAAACACAAGTAAGGATGTGATAGTTGGCAACGACCAAAGGTCAGGAACCTTCTGGAAAAGAATTTCAGAGTACTATGGTACTAGTGATCATGTGGTTAATGGAGGAGAAGCTAGGCTGCCTGACCATTGCAAGCAAAGGTGGGTAAGAATCAGTAAAGAGGTGAACCATTTCTGTGGAGCATATGCTTCTGCAGAGGGTGAGAAAGCTTCTGGACAGAATGATGTTGACATTCTAAAGAATGCACATCAAATTTATAAGACTCTTTATGGGAAGAAATTTACACTTGAGCATGCTTGGGTTGAGCTCAGGAATGAACAGAAATGGTGCTCTTTAGGGTTAATGAATCCTACAAGCAACTCATCAAGCAAGAAAAGAAAGGCTGATGTAGCTGCACCTTCTCCACCCTCAGTTGGTAATGAACAAGAGCCCAGGCCACCAGGTGTGAAGGCTATGAAAGCCAGAAGGTTGAAAAGAAAAGATAAGGGGCCACCCACTGGACAGTATCCGAAGCTTTGGGAAAACAAACAGAAGGACAATGTTGCCAAGAAATAACTCCAAATGATGAGCCTTCTAGACACCCTCATTGCCAAGACAGTTCCTCTTGATGAAGATGAACAAGCCCTTAAGAAGAAGCTCATGGCTCAACTTTTCTAAGTAGCTTATTAACTTGTAATGAATCATGTCTGTTTAACAGGACTAAGTGGTGTCATTTCTGTGTGTTCTATTAACTATGAAGTTGTCATTTCTGTTTTATGCGCAAAGTTTGTGACAATGTTCAAAGTTTGTCCCAATGCATGAATCCGGTTTAATGATGAATGGTGCTAGTTTCTAATACTTGTGTCATTTTTCCTTTAATAATGATAGTATGTGGTCCGTGTCTCATTCTTATGTAATTGATGAATGTCTGTGCTACTTGTGTTTTTTTTTGTATGGTGATTCTTGTCTAGTCTGTTATTGATGAAAATGATTCTTCTCTATGTCTGTTAATGATGTATGGTGATTCTTGTCTATGTGTATGGTGATTCTTGTCTATGTGTATGGTGATTCTTGTCTAGTCTGTTATTGATGAAAGTGATTCTTCTCTATGTCTGTTAATGATGTATGGTGATTCTTGTCTATGTGTATGGTGATTCTTGTCTAGTCTGCTATTGATGAAAGTGATTCTTCTCTATGTCTGTTAATGATGTATAGTGATTCTTGTCTATGTGTATGGTGATTCTTGTCTGTTCTGTTATTGATTAATGTGTGTGGTATTTGTGTCAATTTTGTTTAATCTGGTTGAATGTTTGTGATTCTTGAATGTTTCTGATTCTTGTCTATTTATGTTTGTTTGTTTTCAGGGCAGGCCATAATTGGGCATGACTATAGCTACTCACAGGATACATCCAGTGATCACTACACAAAGGACAATATAGAAAGGGAGACAAATGCATACATCTTGATGGATGAAGCTCAGAGTGCTCGCAGGACTGAACATGAGATTGAGGTTGGCTTCTCCAACATATGTTATTGTGGGGGGCAGCCTCTTCTTCAGACATCTTACACCCGAAATGATCCGGGGAGAAAGTAAGTCCATCTTTCTAAATTATGTATGTAATTACCTCTTACTTCTGAGGCATTCCAATAAGTTTCTGGTTTATGTTTCCCAGGTACTTCACTTGCGAGAATGTGAATGATGGACAAATGCATCTCCACTAGTGGTGGGATGTGGCTGTGATGGAAGAGATGAGAGAGATGAGAGAGATGAGAGAAAGGGCTAGAATTGTAGCAGTGGACCTTAAAGAGATCAGAGAAGAAGAGAGTACAAGTGAAGAAAAGGTTGTTAAGCTTGAGAAGCTAGTTGAGAAGTTTGGTGATGAGTTGCAGAGGAGTAGAGTAACATGACGAATGGTTGTTGGTTTTAGCTTTAGTGTTTTGGCCCTGTTGATGTCAATAGTTGTGTTAAGTAGGATGTGAATTGTATTCGCAGTATGACATTTGAGTACTAGTGAGACTTGTTTGATGCTCCCTTGTAATATAGATGGTAAGTAGAATCTGGTTGTTTTTTCTATAATTGTACTTTTGGTTAGGTGTCACATGAGTTTGTAATTTTCTTTGAAGAATGACAAGTAACTTTGTAATCTTATGTGAGTTTAATAGTATTGCCTCTTCATGTGACTGTTTCTACTGTTGTTTTCTTGTTCACATGATTTACTAGTGCTTATCAATCACGTGTTTGTTTTAGCACTTTGTATATAATATGTCCTAGTGCTTTTCATTCGAATATCTAAATCTCTACTCTCTCTCAATTTCTTTCCACTCACAACCTCTTTCTTTGCAAGAAAATCACTCACTTTCATTTTCTTTCTACACACTCTCATTTCCTTGAAATAAAATCACTCACAAACATAACCTATACACAAGTTCATTTTTATCCTCTTTATAAACTTCGTATTTCATTTTTATCCTCTTTATAAACTTCTTTATTTTTATCCTTTTTTATAAACTTCTTCTATCATTTTTATTATGGCTTCCTCGTCAAACAATTTTCATTATCATTATAACTCTAATAATGATGATGATTTTGACAAATATTATCAAGACCTATTTGATAATCAAGTAGATGCGACATTAGAAGATATACTGCCGGAAAGAAAAAAGCGTGCATATATCGAAAGAAATCGGGAAGAAGGCCACGACCGTTTGTGGAATGATTATTTTAGTGATAATCCTACTTATCCGGAGAGGCTATTTCGAAGACGCTTTTGAATGAATAAACCATTGTTCCTCCGTATTGTCAGTCGTCTCTAAGCAGAAGTTAGATATTTTCAACCAAAAAAAGATGCAACATTTCGAAATGGTATATCACCGCTTCAAAAGTGTACTGCAGCAATTTGACTTTTAGCATACGGGGGTAGGACAGACACGGTTGACGAATATATACGTCTTGGTGAAACTACGGCTCGTAAGTGTTTGGAACAATTTGTCGTTGGAATTGTTGACTTGTTTGGCGATGAATACCTAAGGTGGCCTACAGAAGAGGATCTCCAAAGGCTACTTTATATTGGAGAACAACGGGGTTTTCCAAGGATGGTTGGGAGCATCGATTGAATGCATAGGGGGTGGAAAAATTGTCCAACCGCATGGAAAGGTATGTATTCTCGAAGTACCAGAAAGCCAACTATTATTTTGGAGGTGGTTGCTTCACAAGATCTCCGGATATGGCACGCGTTTTTTGGAGCACCAGGTACTTGCAACGATTTAAATGTTCTTGATCAATCACCGGTTTTTAATGACATTATACAAGGTCAAGCCCTCCCCCCCAAACGAACTACTATGTCAACATAAGGGAATATAACATGACTTACTATCTTTCGGATGGTACTTACCCCGACTAGGCGACATTTAATCAATCCATCCGACTACCAAAAAGCCCAAAACATTCTTTGTTTGCAAAACGTCAAGAATCTGCACGGAAAGATGTTGAGCGTGCATTTGGTTCAAGCAAGATTCGCCATGGTTAAGCATCCATGTCTTCTATGGGAAAAAGGAAAAATCGCTTATATTATGAGAGCATGTCTCATACTTCATAATATGATTGTTGAAGATGAACGACATTCATACACTCTCTTTGACGAACAAGAATTCCAAGAAGGTGCCCCGGATCTTACATTTTCGAACAATATGGCTACAAATCTCGACGGTATAGGTGATCGTCGAAGAAGAATACGTGATAAACAAGCACATCACCAATTGAAAGAGGATTTGATTGAGAATATATGGACTAAATTTGGACATCTTCCAAATGATTAAAAAGGTTTATAAACTTTTTATTCATTTAATAATATGTTTTGTGCTTTCATTTTTATGTTTGTATCTTTTTAAGTTTATGTTTTTAATTTATATGTTTCTATCTTTTATGTTTCTAATTTTTATCTTTATTGTTTTTTATTTTTTTATTATTTGTTAATATTTTGTTTTATAAAGTTTGTTTGTGTTTTGTTTAAAAAGGTTTATAAAGTTTGTTTTTGTTTTGTTTATAATTATATGTTTCTATCTTTATTATTCTAATTTATAAGTTTATATAATTTTTCATTTTTAAAATTTTAAAATTAATTAATAAAATTATTAATAAGTTTTACATTATTATATTATTATAAATGTAAGAACCTAAGGGTTCAACCAATAACTACCTAATTTTATTTGGTTCTTAAAATACACTATTATATTATTAATATATTAAAATTACACTCAGATGCATCTTCTTGGTTAAGCCATTGCGGATGCTCTTACCAGAATAAGAATAGCGTGGGGGTCCATGTGTCAAAATTTGTAATATATATTACTGGTAAATAGCAAACAAATGGAGAAATTATATATATTAATAGTATAGATATTTTTTTAGTAAGATTTTGTATGTACCATTGTTAAGATTGGCTTAGTTATTTTCATTAAGACCCGTAAAAATATACAATTTTGCATATAATTTATTTTTGGTATTATAAAGTATTTAACTGTAGAACTTAAGTGGTGTGTATCATGTTCTGACCCGTTGCAAAAGTATTCTGACCCGCTTCTAATATTTTAAGTATTCTATGATTTTTTATATTTGTATATTTTAAAGGTTTCAATATTAAAATATTTTAAACTTTTAATACATTTCAAAATTATAATTTTTTAAAACTTTAAAGAAATTTATATGCTCAAATAAATAACGTTACTAATCCAAACAAAACTTTTAAAATTGAAAGCTTGATAAGTTAAATGTCATGCTCATTCATAGTTAGATACATATTGGTCATGTTTATAATGATTTAAAACCATTTTCTAAAATATTTAACCGAAGTGGTATGTCTTACTCATTTTTCTATCAGTTGAGTATAATATAAAATTTCATGAAAATATTTAACCAACCCGCTTAGATTTAACCAATATATTTAACTAACCTGATTTAGATATCCAAACTTTATTTTAATAAGATTTTAAGTTTATAATAATATTTTATTTATCAATTGAGTAATATATATCTGCTTTGAAAAATTCAAATTACAACATATTAAAAAATATATGAATTTTTATTCTATATTTTTATTCTATATTTTAATATAATAAATTAAAATAAGATCAAATAAATGTGAAAGGAGAATAATGATTTTTTAAATTTATTAATTTAAATAAGTTATAGAAATAATAGGAAATCGAAAATCTAGATATGGAAATAATATAATCATCATAAAAAATATCCGATTTTTGAAGTATCCAATTGTTTTATTTCAGGTTAATTTTTAATTTTGACCCGACCCATCAATCCATGTAAGAGTGTGCTTCTCTTTTACTATATAGGGGATTTGGAAGTAATAAAGGAAAATTTGTACGGGTTTTGAAGAAAAAGCCTTTGTCATTCAAAGATTTGTTGGATCAGATTTATGGTGTTGATCAAGATGAACGTTACTCTCCATTTAATTTTTAGCGTACATCTCCAAAAGGCACAATCTGCTTTACTAAACACGAATGTCGAAGTAATATCAGAAATACAAGAGGATCAAAGTATAGAACCATCTTTAGATGTCACTAATTTGGGTGCTACTACTAGTCAAGTACCTGAAACAACATCAACTCAAACAAAGTCTGGTTCTCGTCCTCCAAGAAGAAGAACTCATTTTGAAACGCAAGTCGAGACGGGCTTTCGACGTGTAGTAGATACTCGTGAAGATTTACTACAATAACTACGTTCACAAAAGATTCAAAAGCTATCATATGTTGATGCTACAGTGGTTCTAGAAAAATTGCCTATTGAACAACTTGGAACATTTTGGTGGGAGGCGAAAAAGTTATAAAAACAAGATGCTGAATTCGTGAAGCATTTATAAAACTGGAGAGTGAAGAGATTAAGATCAAAGACATGGAGAGTTTAGTTGGCATCGATAGATACGAGTATCCATGCAACAACGTCAATCTTCAAGTGACAGCTAATTTTGTGAAAATAGCCATCAATTAGCTGCAACTGCTTGTGTGGAGAATATAAGAGAAAGAGCAGTTGGGTTTAGTATGTCTTCTCGTATCACATATGATATCGCATCTCACTATCTCTCCCAAGATTTTGAAAATAATTCAGGAGGCTCTAAGGATATGATGAATACTAATTTGACAGCCTTACTTGGGCTGGGTTCTTCTGAATTAGGAGAAGCAACTACTAGAACACCAATGATCAGTGGTGACAACACTATTGATTAGACAATTTCTTAATTTGATCATTCTAGGATTTGTGTTTTTTTTTTTGTTAGCTTTTTACACGTAATTTATTTTCTTGTGATCTTATTAAATTACTTTTTTTTTGCTTTTGCTTAAAAGCTTTGAGCTCTTTGTTGGATGTTATATTTAATTGTCTTGTTCTAAGTTACAAAATTAACTGTAAAAAAGCATTAAGAATACTTGCAGTTGAAGAAAATTTGTTTTAACTTT